GTCACACCATCTCAGGTGCTGTGTGGGATATTAAGCAGAACTAGAGAGATCATCTGTATCATGAGATCAATCCCTTTACCGGGAGTTTGCAGAGCCTGGCCTGTTGTGGGTAAACTAATCAATAAAATCAGTGAGACTGTGAGTTACAGGTTATAAATTAGTAAAAAAAAAATATATAGATTATAGATATATTAAGTGAGATAAGACAATTATAAAGCAAGAACTGTTCCAGACAGGCCTTAGATTCCTTCTATAAGAAAACTGTTACAAGAGCTGTTTCTGAGAAACTGAAATGAAAGCTGTTTTCTTATAAAAATTGTTCTTCTGTATTTTATAACCTGTAAATTGTACCTTACTCAGGATGCATTTGTGGTCATGGTGAACTACATCCTGGGTTTGAGTGCTCTTGTGGGTCTACATGACTTTGAAATAGTTTCTCACCCCACCAACCCCAGCTCAAACTTAGGATACTGATGTCTAGCACCTGCTTGAATCTGGAATTGTGGTTAACTGAATTGCAAAGCGGATTGCCTTTTTTATAGCTTCTGTACTAGCTTGCTTGCTAATTGGAAAATTCCAGTCCTGCTTAGGGCTTGCAGGTCCCGCTTATTACTGTTTTAATTTCTGTGACTGGCTTACTTGCATGAAGCTAAGGAAAGCCCTTGAGTTGTGATTTTCATCTTTAAGTTCCCAAGATATAGGTTAGGAAGTTGCTGTTCTCCCACAGAGCTTCAGTCTCTGGGGGTGGGTGACAGTCCTGGGCCAGGTAAATAAAGCTCTTTTTAATTTGAATTTGGACTTAGAGTGTTTTCTGAAGCAGCTCCCCATAACAGGCCTATCCCCTCAAGAGGCTACTATGTGCAACATAATCCACACACAACCCACAGATGGCTTGTGACACTATGGGATAGTGTCTAATAAATACATTCAGATGTAAAAGGTTCAGAGCACTGCTCAGAATCACCTGAGGAAATGGCCAGTTTAAGACTCATTTTGTTTCCCAAGCTTGTTATTTCTTAGAATTTTGTTTTAAATGTACTGTGTGTAAGGTCAGGCAGTGGCAGTGACCAAAAGGAGGCAGATTTAAAAAGGCTGCTGAACAAGGCTTTATTGAGACCCCACTCCCTATCAGACCAACAGAGTGGATAGGAAGAGGGTCTGAGGAGAAACCCTGTGGGGACTCAACCAGACTGGAATTTTATGGGGCTTAGGGCAGGAAGGGAAGGGCTTGGGACAGGAAAAGGTGTTTTTAGAGTCCCTTGTCCCAATGGAGTTGGTTGGGGGAACTGGCTGAGATCCAGGATTGGCCAGGAGACCCTGCTGATTGGCAGGGGATTCCGTAGGTGCCTGATTTGTTTCTTTTGCCCCAGGGCTTAGGAACAAAGCACTTAGGAACAAAGACACTTAGGAACAAAGCACCAAGGATATGAACAGACCTGACACAGTGTATATCCTCTTATCAATACTTGTTTTATCTGTAGGAATGACTGACCATTAGATGGGCCATGAACACGGGTCCAATATGGCAGCCATCACAAATTGGGCCTGTTCCATCTGGACCACTTCTCTCCTGCCTGCTCTTTTCTTTGGTCCACTTTAGATTCCATGAGTTAACATTTCCTGCTACTGCTTTCTACTTGTGGTTTGAATCAGTAACCTCTCTGTTGACTGTTAAGCTTTAATTCTAGCAGGAGGATTATATTTTTTTYTGGCTGTTATGCTCGAATTCAGGACCCCCCAAAGACCACCAGAGACCCAAGATCGATGTAAGCAGCAAAGAGGTGTTTATTGCGAGCTAGCTCCGTCCTCCGCGCGCACACACAGCTACTGGTGACGCTGAGAGGCCCTGAGCCCAGGGTTTACAGCAGTTTTATACATTCTTTGGAGAAGGCAGGGACTTCACATACATCATAGCATCTCTTAGCAAATCATCACACACCGAGGGAAAATCAAATAAGAACTCTAAAACATGATTAGCACATTTCACTGGCGGGAACAAGTTGGGTAGGGGTGATTGGTCAATACAAAAGGGGTATTCATTTGAACTGACTGGTTTAAGCCAAGAGGGGTGTACGTGCTGAACTACATGGTTTCCCAACATGTTATCAACCACCATAAACTACTGGGAGGGTCATGTGGCATCCCAGGTATTTCCCTGTCTCATGCTGATTGGTGGCTGCTAGGGGGTTGCTATGGATCCCCACCTAGCCCGACTGAGTCAGGGACACCTGCAGCAGCAGATCTCTCCTGTTATTTGTAGATAAACAACTTAGCAGGGTGGGAATGTGCCTAGGAGTGCTCTGTGGGTTTTTCCAAGGACAAAGGTGATGTCCCTTCCTTGGACAGGCTTTGCTCTGAGGTAGAGGCTGGTTTTTCATGGCTTCCTTATCTTAGCTAATATTTCTTGGAATTTATAAAAACATTTGCCTCTCCCATGAAATGCCTGATTTGAAACACAAGATCTATCTTCTCAAAGTCACCAGATCCTGATAATTTGGGGGCTTTAACCGAATCTTCAAGAAATAAAACATTCTCATGCATCAGGGCCTTTTAGCCAGAGACCTCCAGGTACCCATCTAAAGTTTACCAAGTTGGAATTATTACTGTTACCGCTGTTTACCAGTGACGAGTCCTTGCTTCTTCGAATGCTAAAATATAACACCRGAGAAGCACTCCGAGACAAGTTTAGAGAAGAAAGTAGCTTTATTAAGGCCAGCAGAAAAGAAGAAGGGGACCCAAGAGGTGGAATCCGTGGAAGGGGGAGGTCTTCCCTCTTTTATATCTAAGGTCTTCTCTCAGCTTTCCCACATTCCTGTCGCATTTCTGTCCTTAGTTCTGTTATCTTGCAGTCATGGAATGTAGGTGGGGAAGGCCCAAAGGGTTGGGGACAGGTGGGCTGAAGAAGTAATCTAGGCAGGAAAGACATTTGGATTAGCATCTGCTTGTTTGCTGGGAGCTGCTTCATTAATATTTCGTTGGGATGGGCTCTGGGCCTTGGGGACATTTTCAATTCCCCTTTTCCTGTACTCCATTCTCACTATGGCCTTTGTTCTTGATTTTACTCCATATTAGACCCGATTTACCTAACCTTGCTAACTACCTATCTGTAAATCTGCCTTCATTACCTGTTGCCACAAGTAGGAACGTGGGAGCTAGGGAGCCATGGGCTTGTCTTGATAAGAATGTGTAAAGAAAAAACTTTATGGGATTTGGGCTTTGGTTGGCAATTTGAAGGAGGGTCTAAAGAAGGAGAGATTTGTTCTACATCTGATCTTGTTATAAAGCATTTCTATGCCTGGGAAGTTCAAGCTTGTCTCTAGGAAGAAAAGACTTGCAAGAAAACAAAGCTGTAATTTATAAAAAAGTAGTAGTTACTCATGTTGGCCAGGGGAAAGGTGTTGGTATTTGTAATTGCAGACTGACCCTGTTTTTGTCTGTGCTTAGACAAACTTAATGGAGTGCTTTGCTTTGTCTCAGTTTATCAGAGGGACCCAGTCTGAGGTCAGTATTTTGTGAGTTTATTTCTATCTTGTAGGCGAATAATATAGCCTTGCTATAAGTGTCAGGCCAGCTCTGAATGAGAGATAGAAAAGCCCATACATCTCCCTTTCAATATCTCCTTTTCTGGTTCATTGTCTATTATTACAACAYATGCAGGCTAACCTCTGGTTTACAGCTTTAACTTTTTCCTTGTTTGTGCATTTATTGCCTGTGCACCCTTGGGCAAGTTGCTTAACCTTGTGTGTTGATTTCCTATGTGTAAAATGGAAATAACAGTAGCTACTTTATGTAGTAAGGGCTAAATCCCTTAAACAGTAAGAGACTCAAGCTGTTATTATCATTTTCTCCCAGTACTGGGGCTTGAACCCGGGGATGCTCTACCACTAAGCTACAGCCCCAGTCCTGCTTATTTTAAGCCAAGGTCTTGCTTGAACTTGGGATCCTCCTGCCTCAGCTTCCCTAGCAGCTGGGATTACAGGCATATGCCATCTCTCCCAGTTTTGTTACCACATTTTAATTAAATAATTTGGTCATTAGTCATCCCTTCAGAGTGGCAACTGATAGTGGAATCATTCTCCACACTCAAGGTTTGAATTCTGATGCAAGCTGAATCACCTTCTATTTTTTTCTTATTGTTCCTTATCCTGTTCACTCTTCTGCCTAACTCTTTTTTCATACCATTCTTATGGTTCTCATTCTTACGTTTTGAAGGCTAAATGTGTGTATTTACAACATGTAGGACATAATAATGCCTCATGTTACCCCTTGAAAAATGTTACTTTAAAAAATACACATAGTTTTCTAAGTTCCTTTGGGGGAATGACAACGTGCTTTTCGGTTTCACTCCAAAGTGCCCGCAAAGCACAGAGGGGAGGCCTAGCTCTGTAGACCCTGCTAATGAAGCTCCGGAATCCTCTTCTCAGAGCCCCTGAAGGTGCGGGGTCCACAAGTGTGTAAAACAAGCCACAGAGGGGAGTCATTCGACCCATCCGTCATATCATAGACCAGCGAAGGTCCCATCACCTAGCAATTCACTCAATGCACAAGAGCCAAACTTTCAGGGCCTGGTTGCGCACGCGCGCACAAGCACGCCTGTCTGGGGGCGCCTGGGGCACACCATCCCGGGTAGGCGAAAGCACGCGGAACCTTTATCCACGGCTACGTGTTTCCCGCGACTCCGCTCAAATCGTTGCACTACTAAATGGACGGCCTCCATCCCCTACCCCCAGTGGCCTCTCCCGACTGCAGGTTCCCGCGTTGGTGWCCGCTGATTTCAACGAAATGATAAACGGACACCCTGAAGACCCAGGACGGCTTCTCCAAGCCACSTCCCGCCGGCGGCCCCACGAGAACCTGTGCGGGAGGCGTCCGCCGCGGGACCGCCCATGCCGCCCCTACCAGCGCGGAGCAGGCGCACGGCGGCCGCGGCGCAGGCTGTGGAGCGTACCGCGAGCGCGAGCCCGCGCCTAAGCGCGCTCACGCCGCCCGGCGCTCCGCCCTCCCCCGCCCGCCCGTGGAGTCGACCCCGGAACCCCGCGCCGTTGGAGGGACCCCGAGTGAGCCCGAGCACCCTGTTGGGTTTGAGTGAAGCCTGAGGAGAACGGGGTAACTGGGGAGAGCAGCGGAGGGCAACGGAGCTGGCCCTGCACGCCCGGGCAGTCGTGGTGGCCAGGCGGCGAGTTGGGTGAGCGAGCGCGGAGTGAGCAAGCCGGGGGCGGAGTCGAGCCCCGGCTGCGCTCCCAGACCGGTGGGCCAGGGCCCCAGCCGGCCTGACCTCGGGTCTGAGCCGGACGGCCCTGCCACAGAGGGACGCACAGAGCGAGGAGACATGGCCACACCATTCCTGCCCACGGGGGCCACCACGGGCGACAGCGGTGGAGAGCTGAGCTCAGGCGACGACTCCGGGGATGTGGAATCCCCCCAGAACCCCGAGACCGAGGCGTCCAGGAACCTGGCGGAGCTGTTTGAGAAGGCTGCCACGCACCTCCAGAGCCTGATTCAGGTGGCCAGCAGAGAGCAGCTCTTATACCTGTATGCCAGGTACAAGCAGGTAAAGTTGGGAAGAGGTGGATGCAAGAGACACAGGGGGTCTGAAAGCCAACGTGCATGATTAATGTCTAGGCGAAATGAAGGGTGTGTGTGTGTGTGTGTGTGTGTGTGTGTGTGTGTGTGTGTTTTGATTAACTGCTGTCAGTTAGCATCATTCTGTCTGCCAGGAGGGCTATTTACTTAGCTGGACATAGAATGACAGTTTTTCTGTGTCTTCTCTTACTCAGTGACCTTGTACTTTACCAGCCTCGGAACCTTTACAAAATGAGGATGATAAAATAAGATTTAACATTCATTTACTCTTGCCAAAGGGACACATTGAAGTAAATATGGTAATGTTATTAAAAATATTTTGAGATCTAAGGGAATAACAGGATTGTAATGAATAAGGTGCTGCAATACAAAGTAAAATATTACTACATTTATTGTGTTTTTTTTTTAAAAAAACTTAAATATAATTTGAATTATGTTTTGGCTGGATATGTTTCTTTAGATAAAATCATAAAAATTTTAGAGCTATAAACACCAGACAATTCCCTTCATTTACCAAAGAGTAGGCTCCTTGCCTAGAGTCATATAGACACATCTGTCAGAACTAGATTATAACTCCTAACTTTAAGGTTCTGAACTTTACCTGGAAATATGGAAATGTGTTAGTACTCATATAAGACACATTTAAGCCAGGCATGGTGGTGCATGCCTCTAATACCAGCAACTTGAGAGGCTGACACAGCAGTTTGGTAAGTTTGAGGCCAACCTCAGCAGTTAACGGGACTTCAGCTGTGGAGAGCAGTAAAGAGAATGGATGAGCAGTGACTGAGATTGGGGATCTCTGATGACTTCATGGCTGTGGCACACCTGCAGCCTGGGAATGTTTGTGCAAGGGCACAGGATGCCTAGCTGCTATGGTGATGCCCTGCCCGAGGAGGCTCTGTGCAAAGGCCTTATCAGCTTTAACCTTGATCTCAGGCACATAGCTTCCAGGGATAGAGGGATTCTCATGCTAGATAACCTCAATATTTCACCAACTGTGCTACTCCTGAGCCTGCCTGTTTAACAGTAACTTTAAACAGTGGGCCTCSTTGAGCRATACACAAAGCTCCTGACATTGTACATTGTAACTGTGGAAAAGCTGCATAAATGTTTCCAGTTCTGTAACTTTCCTGAGTACAAAGAATAATGCTTGCATAGTCTTTAACCTGATAATGAGACATATATAAATAAAAATTGCTGGCTTAACTCTTAGATCTACTTCTCTATCAGGGAGCAACGCTCCACCATCAGGGAGCAGCGCTCCACCTGATCTCAGCTATTTACTTCATATCTGTGTGTGAGTCTTTCTTTCCTAATTTCCCATTGTCCCTCCCTGGTACCACCAGTTTGGCCATGCTGATTGCAGCATCCAGCAATTTAGGGAGATCCTGTCGCAAAAATAAAAATTAAAAAAGGATGGGGATGTAGTACAATGGTAAAGAACTCCTGGGTTCAATGCCAGTATAACAACAACAAAAAAAGGCATTTAGTTTCTTATTCAAAAAAGTCATTGATTGGTTACCAGAAGGAAAATTAATCACTTTCTCATAGTCAACAAATATTAGTTCAGCATCTTTTTGTTTTTGGTACCGGGTATTAAACTCAGGGGCACTCAACCACTGAGCCACATCCCCAGCCCTTTTTTGCATTTTATTTAGAGTCAGGGTCTCACTAAGTTACTTAGTGCCTCATCATTGCTGAGGCTGGCTTTGAACTCATGATCTTCCTTCCTTAGCCTCCCAAGCTGCTGGGATTACAGGTGTGTGCCACTGGGCTGGGGTTTTATTTGTCTTTTTTAATATATGTGTGTGTGTGTATATATATATATATGTGTATACATTTATTTATATACATATTTTTATATATAATATACACACACGTTGTAGATAGACACAGTGCCTTTATTTTATTTATTTATTTTTACGTGGTGCTGAAGATCAAACCCAATGCCTCACATGTGCTAGACAAGCTAGGCAAACGCTCTAGCTACAACCCCAGCCCTTTTCAACATCTTCATGTCATGTCTACAGATAATGCAAAGAAGCAAAAGCATCATGATGCTTGCCCCTAAGAGGCTTACAAAGTACTTGAGGAATCTAGATTTAAACACATGAAAAATGACTGATAATGAGTTAAATTACAGCTCAGGAAAACTCTGGATCTTTGAAACTTTGGATGAAATGAAGTTCTGGATTATAGCCTATTTTATTTTTATTAAAAACATCTTAATTTTCTTTTTGCATCTTGGTATAATGACATATTTTTCCATGTACCCTATGTATTGTTTTTAATAAAGTAGTTAGTTGTAGGGGGTTCCCCTTTTTTCTTAARCTGAATGTACTGAATAGAGATGAATGATTATGAATGTTTATGGATGATTATGAATGTTAGTTAATGTGACTTGAGAGATATAGGTACAAATGGTATGAATTATAGTATTGARTGAAAATTGTCCTACAATTGGCCTGCCTTGGAAGTAGCTTTCTTGCAAGAGTTCTGGATATTATTTTCTTTGGGGGCATTTACTTTATCCTAATAACTTTAGAAAGAAACTATTGAGTAAATTTGACAACTATTTACTAAACATTGTGCTAGGACCTATATATAGCATGTCTGACAGATGTTTCTCTGGGCAGTGTAAAGCTAATTTTCTCCAGATTCCCTAGGAAACAATCTTTTTCTTTTTTTGGATATATATTTATTGTCATTATTGTTAAGTACTGATTTCTAAGTCATGAGTGAACCATAGACACCTGTTAGTTGGCCACCATTTATCTCTGTTGTGTTCAATTCATCCAGATAGTCTGAAGGAATATTGTCCTTCATTCTTCCAAGAATGTAATCTTATAGTCTATGTTTAGGTTATTTTGTTTTTGAAAATAAAATTCTTTATTATTAGAGAATAAGATTATGCATGTTAGATCTGACACTGGACCACATATTTTTAATCAATCTCTCCTAAATTTTATTTCTAGCAGAATTCTGAGACAGTGTTAAAAATAGCATCTTTGGCCCAGTGGCTTGGGAGGCTGAGGCAGGAGAATCAGTGCCAGCCTCAACAAAAGCAAGGTGCTAAGCAACTCAGTGAGACCCTCTCTCTAAATAAAATTAAAAAAAAAAAAAATAGGGCTGGGGATGTGGCATAGTGGTTGAATGCTCCTGAGTTCAATTCCCCCATCCCCCCAAAATAGCATCTTTGGTAGAATAATGAAGTTTGAAGTCTGATACAGTGTCTGCAAGATGGATCGAAATTTCTTACAAAGTGACATTTTCTACTTGGATTAGCATCCCATTTTGGAGGCTAAATGAGGTAAGATTGTTGGCAGGAAGATGATAAAATAAGCTAAGAGATGATCCTTATTTTCTCAGGCCCAGATCTAAATTAACCTAGTTAAAATCTTAGCTCTTTTAGTCTCAGATTAAACTATGACTTCAAAATTATCTTTTTAATTAGATTTCAAAAAGATCAAATCATTTAACAGTTTTTTGCTTCCTCTGTGTATTAGCCTACAATCTCTCAACAGAAGATAACTCATCGATACCTGTGAAATGAAAGGCAATGAAAATTTCAAATTCCTGTTGGATTCATTTGATAAGATTGTTTTAGACAACTAGTTCTCTTTTGCGAGTAAAAGATTTTAGGGGAGGAAATGTTTATTTGGGTGTTCACAGTTTCAGAGGTCTCWGTCCATAGACAGCAGGCTCCATTCCTGGGGGCTTAAGGTGAGGCAGGACATCTTGGTGAAGAGTGTGACAGAGGAAAGCAGCTCACATTATGATCAGGAAGAAGAAGAGCGAAAGAGAGATCTCTGCTTGCCATATACAAATATATACCCCATAGCCATGCCCCCTATGAACCACTTCCTCCAGCCACACCCCATCTGCCTCCAGCCTCCACCCAGATAATCCCTTCAGGGATTAATTCACTGATTAATGTTATACCACAATTATTTCTCCTCTAAACCCTCTTGTATTGTCTCACAGGTGAGCTTTGGGGGGATAACTCATATCAGAACCCCAACAAAGATCCTCCACTACTAGCATAATTGAAGATACTCTGCATATCCTCCTTTAACTTGAGCATACTCGATTCCCTGGCATTTGTTCTTGGCAACTTTTGTTGAAATATTCTGCTTCAAGGGCACTAAATATATTTTCCTCCTTTCTTTCTTCCTACCTACCTACCTACTTATCTATTTATCTACCCACACACCTACCATACCTACCTACCTATGTTAGAGAACAGAATTTTGATACTCTGTTAAAGTGGTGCATATCCCTGCTTCATAAATGATTCAGAAACTGCTGTTATGTTTTCTCGGTCTTCTAGATCCAGAACTATTTTTTAAACTTGGGAGTTAGAAAAGTTTCCATGTCAGTTAGGATACAGGGTCAATTGCTGAGCCTTTGTTTATCTCAGATAATAATCTAGAGGTAGGTGATCCAGAGTTGGTAGGGTGGCTTTCTTTCATGAGATCATCCAAGGACTTCTGTTTGTCTTAAAGCTCAATCATCCCCTAAGGCAGCAGTTCTCTAATTGTGGTCCATGGACCCCTGTGAATTCCCAAGACATGCTCTGGGTTTCATAAGATCAAAATTATTTTCATAATAATACTAAGACATTGTTGAATTTTTCCTATGCTGTCATGTTGAATAAAACAGCTGATTCCTTAGTATGAATCAAAGCAGTGATAGCAAACTGTTATTAATGGTCATTTGTATTTTTTAACCACTGTATACTCGAGTATATTATTTGTTTTTATTTAATATTAATTCTTGAGGGGCTGGGGCTGTAGCTCAGTGGTAGACACTTGCCTACCACGAGTGAGGTACTGGATTTGATCATCAGCGCCACATAAAAAAATAAATAAAATAAAGGTATGTGTCCACCTATAATTTAAAAAAACATTTAGTCTTTTTTAAAAAAATTAACCCTTGAGTACAAGTCTCTTTGACATTGTGTGTGATGAAATGGGAGGTACACCCAAGGCACCTCTGATGCATCAGAATATGTTGCTGTTTTGAGGAAAAGCACTTATGTGATTTCTGAGTTGCAAACTAAACTACCCACTTTTTACCATGGAAAATCATTTTTACTTAACAGAACAACTGACAGATAAACTGTGTGTATTCATATTTGGTTATTTGGCATATAGTTTCTTGAAAATGAGAGAAATGAGCCCTTGCCTTTAAGGAAAACAATTGAAAATATTTGTTGCCAATGATAACATTTAAACCCTCTAGAAAATTAGAAGTTTAGAAAATCTGCTGCCATGAGCTTGACAGCATCTAGTACTTAAAATTTTTTTATAAGCAATGAGAATAATGAATGTGAACTTTTTAAAAAATATATTTATACTTTAGTTATAAGTGAACACAATATCTTTATTTAATTTTTATGTGGTGCTGAGCATCGAAYTCAGTGCCTCATACATGCTAGGTGAGCGCTTTTCCTCTGAGCCACAACCCCAGCCCTGTGAACTTTTAATGTACAAAGAAATACATCAACATTTGGAAAATCTGCGTAACTCAGTGAACTATATTTTTTAAACATTTCACAGGGCAGTGTTACAAAACACATGTGGGTAAAAGATCAATTCAAAAAGTGCATATCAGACCAATGGTTTTCAGTGAGACAGTGTGAAAAATTCATTGATGTAAGTCCAGATTCCACATTGCAGATAACCTTAAAGGAATTACTATTGTTGAATTTTGGTGTAATATCAAAAGAACAATATCCACAGTTACCTGAAAATGTGATCAAAATAACTTATTAGTATTCTAACAACATATCTATGTGAAGTTGAATTTTCTTCATAAACTTCAACCATAGCAACACATAACAATAGATTGGATATAGAAGTAAATATGAAACTACAACTAAGCCAGACTTTAAAGAGATTTACAAAATGTAAAACAGTGCCATTTTTCTCACTATTTTTTAAATTTAGTAATATGTAGTTATTCTTCATAAAACATTTTTAATTTTGTTGACATGCAGTGGGTTTATTGCTATTTTCAAATGAATTAATATATCTTAAGTATTTTAACTTCTAACATGGTAAATATCAATAGATATAATCCACATGAACAAAAGCTCCTTGGGGTCCTTAATTTTTAATAGTGCAAAGGGATTTTTTTTTTTTAAAAGAATTTTTAATATTTATTTTTTAGTTCTCGGCGGACACAACATCTTTGTTGGTATGTGGTGCTGAGGATCGAACCCGGGTCGCACGCATACCAGGCGAGCGCGCTACCACTTGAGCCACATCCCCAGCCCCATAAGGAAGATATTTTTATAATTTTTGTACACATCCTGTTCCCAAAACCTAGACAGAAGTTGCATGGCCACATATATTATTTCAGTTGGATGACCATGTGTCTAGCTGAGACTAATACTGTAGGAGAAAGAAAGAACAGATAACTGGCATTGGTTTCTGTTTCTGGATGACATCTAGACAAAAATGTAAAAATATTAATAATTGTTATTTTTAAGATGTTTTATAGTTTATATAGTTTATCTTATCCATATTTCTGGCAATCCAATAATTCATTTGATTTTAGAGAAACCAGAACTGAAGCCTCATTTCTGTAACACCTAAGGCAGAATGATGTAGTGAAGGAATATTGGACTTTGCAGTCCAACAGGCCAGGATTCAAATCCTGACTATTTACTCAGTACTTGCTAACATGTGAATTGAGACAACCCCCCTGAGATTCTTTTTCCTCATTTATCAAATGAGTTTGTAATGCCATTCCTTGCAGGATTATCATGTGGCTCACTTATAATAACTCAAGTCAAGTGTTTGGTCTATGGTGAGACTGTTCAAGACAGACATTACTTTCTCACCTTTTCTTCCCTGCAGCCTATCATAACAGGGCTGCTTCTATAAAAGCATACATTTTAATAAYAGCCAGAGGGCCATGAGATTAATTGCTCAGGAAATGAGAGAGGTGATAATTTTTCTGAATTCAGAGGTGGATAAGATCATTGTACACTGAAAAGGTTCTTAGAATCTGAACCTTGAGCAAGACAGAAAGGAGATACAGCATTTTGAAAAACCTAGGGAAGAAGAGAAGGCATTTCAAAAGATTGAAATAATATGAGCAAAACACAGAACTAAAAATCCCTAAGGCAGTGAGTAGATCAGTGTGGCTGGGTAAAGGCATCAGTTTAATTTTAGCAAAATGCAACTATGCAAGAATAATAGAAATATCAGGAATGCCCCTGAGAAGTAGATAATTGCTATGGGTGAGTTAAGAATAGTTTCTTAGAGGTTGTGTTCTAATAAAAAGACAAGACTTTACTCAGAACTTCCTAATGCAGTAGAAAATGTCAAAATGCCACAAGAGATATTCAGAATAAATGATATTAAGAATTCATAAGGAAGGGAGATTCTGCAGTGGCAGTCATGGACTGCATGGTGAATTCTGCATTTGTATGAATTTCATTTGTACATATTTATAATGAAAATAATCTGTAATTTAGCCATTGATGTCATTTGAAGACCAAAAAAATAAATATTGACAAGATTATTATGGAATAGATAGAATTTATATTGTTGTTGTTGAGAACACTTGAAATTTTTTGCATGGCTTTTGGCACTAAATTCATATTGATGAATTTCATAATAGGCCGTTTTAAAAGTAGTACACTTTATCCTGGAATTCGGGAGAGATGGGCTGCAAGTAGCATTATAAGAATCAGCATAAAGAAACAATATTATGGATTCTTGAAAAACTGAACTTTAAAGTTTGTTAATTTGTTAAAAGTTCTTTATTATAGTGTTGAGAAAGACTATATAATCTATTTTATAATTTGCCTTATAATTGTTCTACTAAGGAATGAAACTGTCACCCACAGTTTTTTGTAAATATAGTATTAGATAACAATTTTTTTATAGTAAGCTAAAGCTATGTGATTTTTAAGTTTGGTTTGTTGTTTGCTTTAGCAAAGAATGTTAAATTTTGTTATTCTATATAGATGCATATTTTCTAATCCATAGTTATTAAACAAATTCGAAAAGAAAGTTTTTGACATTTCTTTGAAAAATAAGTTCTTAATTGTTTTTTAATCTCCTCATTTAGGTCAAAGTTGGAAATTGCAATACTCCTAAACCAGGCTTCTTTGATTTTGAAGGAAAGCAAAAATGGTAAGAAATTCTTGGACTCTTTAATGAGGCTGATGGAAATGATTTAGGTGTTTAGGAATTAGAAAGTAGTGAGCAGATTAAAGAATTATTTTTATATTAATCTTTCTCTACTGTAGACTGTGATAATGACAGGCAATTGGGAGAGGGATTAAAAGAATCTTCTTTTAGCTAAGACTTCTAAAGGATTCTTATGCAGTGACGTTGGAATATAAGTAGTTCACAACAAATGTGCTTCTGTCCATAGGAAATGTATGTATGAGAATATCCATCAGAGCTATTGCGTAAGATTTTTTTGCTACTGTACAGCCTCTAAGGGGTCACCACTCTGCCCCTCTGGAGGCATCTTTGAGAGAAAGCCAAGGGGATAGCCTTGAGGAGAATAGTAGGATCAATCCCCATTTTGAACTCTTCTCCCTTGTATCAGTTTTAACCCCTTGGCTCTCTTGGCACTGTTCTCTTCCTTGTCCTACCTACACTGCAGGAAAAAAGTTTTTATCATAATTTTTTTGGAAAGAAGATGGGAATCCAAAGCCAGATCCTGACTAACTCCACTTTTCTGAATAAATAAAGATCATACTCATCCGAGGTTTTTGTCCACTTGTTATTCAGTGGTTTTCTTATATGAGGCCTTATTTTTTCTGGTTTTTTCTATTTTTCCCTGGTTTATGTGAAAAAAGAGAAGTTGCATATAATAGAGAACCTTAGTTATAGAAGGAAAGGCTTTGGAACATCAGCCCTGGAATTAGAAGAAGCATCAAGGATAGAGTTAGAAAAAAAAAAATAAGATGGAATATAGTTGTAGAAAGAGGAAGTGCTCCAAGGTGAATTCTGACTTTATATTCTAACACAGTCCTGCTCAAGACGTGGTCCTCYGGACAAGTTGCCTAACTATCAAGTGTTTGTTACCCAACTGTAAGCAAATATAGAGCTTGAACCTTGAAATAAATCACATCACTAACTATATTCTTCAAATCAAACCTTTTTTTTTTTCTGGTAGAATATTTTAGATCGCTTTTTTGGGGGGCAGGGTGGGGGAGGAAATTTACAATAAAGGAAGCAGTGCTTTGATTTACATTCTGGTACAAGTTTTCTTTGCTTATGACAAGCAGTTCCCTGGCAATTTACTACTGTTCTAGGGAATACCTGATAAAACTTTTATTGTGATTTTTTTTGTTTAAATTTGGGAAATTTTGTAACTTCACCATTATTTTTCTCTACATATCGCCTGTTTGACCATTGATTTTAGAATTAAGAACTGTTTATATTTTATAGCTATCCTAATAATTAATTCAGGCAAGAATCATCATTGATGCTAAAACATTATATGGAAAACTATTGAAGAACAATATTTACACAACCTGACCCACAGTTTACTTATTAATTATGAAGGAGAATACTTGTACTTACTGATTATAAGAGAAAGCTTGTGGATATTGCCATTACTAACTCATTAATCTTATCAGTGATGGGACAGGCTAACATCATGTTTCCCCCAAGGGTGATGCATTGTAAAGGACATGTCACCTATATATTGCTCTTGCTGAAATACTAAACCTGATTATAATCATGATTAATCATTTTTGTAAAGGAAACAATGAGACAAACCCAAACTGAGGGGTATTTTACAAAACAATTGGTTTTAAAATTTTTTTAAATTGGTTCTGAAACATTTTTAATTGGTTTTAACTTTTGGAAAATGGTTTTTAAGAAATGTCAACATCACGAAAGACAAAAAGGTTAAAGTAAATGAAATTCATTGCTCTATGTGAATCTTGATTGCCTCCTGGTCTCGGTGAAGAAAGTCATAAAGGACATTGTTGAGACAATCAGGGAAGTCTGACTATTTGTTCTCTGTATTATAGTATTGATGAAAAATTTCCTGTGTTTGACATAAGCTGATACTGTTAGGGGTGAAGTGTTTCAATGTAAACAATTAACTCTGAAGAGATTGAGTAGAAATAAACTTAGAAAGCCTCAGGAAGATGTTTCTTCATCATAGGAGCAGGAAGGTCATGACAAAACTGTGGGACTGGATTGTTTTTCAAAGGATCAGGAAAATTAAGAAACCGTGGTTGGATGTAGAAAATTGGAGGGTCAAACCAAGAAGAAGGACTGTCTTAGCAGCCTGCTTAAAAAAAAGAAAGGGTTGACTCAAAAGGATACTCAGGACTAAAATGTTACTCTTGGTGTTTATACTATCAGAAATTCCTTCCTTGCTTATCATTAGTATTCTTAATTCTGCTTCACTTCCCTTCATTTTTGAAATCTCCAACCAAGGCCTCAATATCAGATTGTGATAGCTTATGGAAAACAGAAGGGGAAGGTGATTTCTTGAATCTTAACTAAGAAGCTTGATGCATTTTCCGAAGGAATATTTTTTCTTTTGTGATGATTTGTTTCTATACTGCCAAATGCCATAAGCATATTAATTCATAAGATGGGAACTAYTTCTGTTGGTTTATAGGCCATATGTTCTTAATAAGGGTGAAAATTGTATTTGGAGAAGTGGTTAAAATCTTAGGTTACAATGGTTTGTGATCTTTGAAAATTCAACAGATATTCAGTTTATTTCATGGGAGAAGGCAACTAGGAGAAAAATTTCCAAGAAGTCTCCTTATTTGGAGTGATAAGATTTGTATTGCTGTTGGTCCATATAAATGCAAAAAGAGAGGGCTTCTCCTTTATGCATAGCTTTTTATCTCTATTTACCAGACCCTTGAAATGTGTATGTAAATTTTTAATAATAAATAGTAATATGCTTTGCTTTATTCACATATTTAATGATGGGCCATTTTGGATTTTCTGTACCGTAGGGAAGCGTGGAAAGCACTTGGTGACTTGAGCCCCAGTCAAGCAATGCAGGAATATGTCGCAGTAGTTAAAACATTAGATCCAGGTTGGAATCCTCAGGTAAGACTTAATTAGACATCATACTTGGCAAAACCTTATCTTTCTCTCAGATAAAATGTTTAAAAACTAAGCTTTGGGTTAAGTAATGTACTGAAATTTTACTTCCTCAAAAGAGTATAGTTATTGCAGTATTTTCTGAGAAAATTATTGCTTAAATATTAACATAATCAGCTACTGATTCTGACAACTTCTCTGAAGTAGAATGGAGTTTTGTTTTGTTATTTATTTATTTATTTGTTGTGGTGCTGGGGATTATCAAACCCAGGGTTTTTATGTGCTATGCATGTAGAGAATTTTTTAAAGTATGATAATTTCAGTCAATCATGTACGAATTCAGTTCATTTTAGAATTTGAAAGTGTTTCTCTTGAGGTCTTCATTATTATCTTGGGGAAAGAAAAATTTCTCTGAGATTGTTTTTTCTTTTTCTTTCTTTCTTTTTTTTTTTAGAGTACCCTTCTGTACCCTATATTTTTTGATAGGAATAAAAGACAAATAGGACATGTTTTCTCTTATTATGTAAAGTATAATGGAGACACTAAAACATAAAAAAAGTTTAGTAGTATAGAGAAACAGAAATACAAATGATAGGGAATCCAGTGGAATAAGAGATTGTTTTGAGCTTTGGGGACATTGGATATTCACTATACCCTATCTTTCTAGTGTTCTTATTGGAAAATATCCAGAAAGAATTTAATAAAGATGGATTGCTATTCTATTTTTTTAAAATATTTGTTTATTTATGTAGATATAGTTGGATACAATACCTTTATTTTATTTTTTAATTTATTTTTATGAGGTACTGAGGATCGAACCCAGGGCCTTGCACATGTTGGGCAAAAGCTCTATCACTGAGCCACAACCCCAGCCCTCTATTTTTAAATATATTTTAGGGCTGGGGATGTGGCTCAAGCGGTAGTGCGCTTGCCTGGCATGCGTGTAGCCCCGGTTCGATCCTCATCACCACATACAAACAAAGTTGTTGTGTCCGCCAAAAACTAAAAAATAAATATTAAAAAAAATTTTCTCTCTCTCTCACTCTCTCTTTAAAAAAAAAATATATATATATATATATTTTTTTTTTTTAAAAACGTGGTTAATGGGTATTAGGCATGATAGAGGTTGCTTTGTAATGAAAGCAAGCGCAAATGAATTTTTTAAATGAAAATATTTAGGCCAGACATTTTAGTGGTGGATTAATTCAGTAATTTTCATTGTTTTATAATAATTAAATTCATGGGTATGTAGTTGTTACCAGTATGATGTTTTTGTTCCAGCAGTCATAGAATCTTAAACTCTCAGAGTTGCTAGGAACCTTAAGAGATTAGGTAGTATTACATGTTAAAGTGTATCTTAATTAAGAGTACAAAGAAGGAGCCAGCTTAAGATATCTTGAATGATAGGACTGCCTTTTGGAAATAATTAAAATCATCTAATGTTTTTGATATCCACTGAGTATTTATTCTTAGAAATTTTTCATTTTATCATAAAATACCACAGATAGTATATATTATAAATGCCCTAAAGACTTCATATCTGAAATTCAGTGGTCAAAATACATGCCCCCTGAGCAGAACTCAGCCTGAACAAATGTGGCACGGTGTTTAAAAAATGAGACAAAAACTTGAATATGAGTGTCTTTAGATAGAATACTTATTAGGTCTAGTCAGTGATCTCAGTTTTTCTTGATTGATTTATGACTTGGTTCTTTCTGATCCTTGGCCTCTGAAAGTATTTGAGTATTTAAATTCTGATAAATGAAAGAAGTTATAATTTCTTACCTTTATTACCTTAATTACTTAGTTAAATCCCATTAACTATGACTCTTATAAATGTTTTCAGATTTCATATGGTCAGGTTGTTCTTCCTTATGGAAATCCAGAAGGTATTAAGGACTCTTTGTAAAAGCATCTAAATCTCACTTATTGAACATATACTTGAGTAAACCACACAAAACCAAAGGCACATTAGCGTTCTTTAATGAATTACTTGATTCATTAAGTAAAATAAAAATGAAATTTAAAAATTAATATGTAGTTTAAGGGCCAGGATTGTGGCTCAGTGTACACACACACACACACACACACACACACACATTGGACACAATATCTTTATTTTATTTATTTTTATGTGGTACTGAGGATCGAACTCAGTGCCTCGCATGTGCTAAGTGAGCACTCTACTGCTGAGCCACAACTCCAACCCAATGTCGAATGTTTTTTTTTTTTTTTTTTTGATATGAGGAGGCTGATTCATAGTGGGATAGGGAGAGGGAGCATGGGAGGAATAGACGAACTCTAGATAGGGCAGAGGGGTTGGAGGGGAAGGGAGGGGCATGGGGTTATTAATAATGGTGGAATGTGATGATCATTATTATCCAAAGTACAGGTATGAGGACATGAATTGGTGTGAATATACTATGTATACAACCAGAGATATGAAAAATTGTGCTTTATATGTGTAATAAAAATTATAATGCACTCCACTGTCATATAAATATAAATAAATAAATAGTTTCATAGATACAAAGATCTTCTGTGTGGCCTTTACCTACATTCATTAGTTATATTTCCTTTATCATTCTCTCTAAACACATATATACATAATATTTCTAAACTATTCAAGATAAATTGGAAATATCACATTTCTTTACCACTAGATATTTCAGTATTTCCTAAGCACAAAGGTCTTCTCTTATATAAATGTCTTTATTGTCAAAATCAGGAATTTTTTAAAAATATTTATTTTTTAGTTGTAGTTGGACACAACCTTTATTTTATTTATTTATTTTTATGTGGTGCTGAGGATTGAACATAGGGCCTTGCACGTGCTAGGCGAGCGCTGTATTGCTGAGCCACAATCCTAGCCCTCTAAATCAGGAATTTTAACTTTGATTCATCATTATTGTGGAATCTACAGTCCATATTCAAAATTATCATTTACCTTAATAGTGTCCTTCATAGTTATTTCTAAAATTCTGGTCTATGGTTTAACTCAGCTGTATTTTTGTTGTCCTGTCTCTTTAGTCTCCTTTAATCTGGAATATTTCTTCTGATTTCCTTTTCCTTTTTGACTGTGATATTTTTGAACAATATAAGCCAATTTTGGACAATGTGTCTCATTTTGGATTTGCCTGATATTTCCTTATAATTAGATTCAGTATGTGCATTTTTAGGAAGAATATCAAAGCCTCATGTCCTCAGTATCACGAAGTACATACCTATTTGTCCTAGTATTGGTGATGTTAATTTTGATCACTTGGTTAATAGTGGTGTYCAGGATATCTCTTCTGAAAAGTTCCTTAGTAATTGATGAGTAATTTGTGGGGACACATTTTGAGACTATGTAAGTATCCTTTTTCCAACAAGATTTCACGTATTAATTCACCTAATATTCACAAATGTTTTTCAAACTCCATTATTTCTTCTGCATTTATTATATATCATTCAACTGCAAGAGTGACTTTCCCTTTTACCTCATTCATTGTCAAGAACTGTGAAAGTCCGACATTTTACTCTATTTGTAAGCCAAGTTAGCCTGTTACTGTTTCTTAAATGCTGGCAGAAGGTACATGACTCCTGGGTCCCAGCCAAAGGACTTTATTATTCATGACTTATGGCAAGCTGTGTGAGCTTCATTTGGTTTGCATTGATTTCTCATGTCCCCCAAGTCCTTCAGGGTCTACATAGGTAGGCCTGGTTGGTTTCCTGCATACTCAGCAGTTTATGCTATAGGGAAGGAGCACTGAGTTGTGGAATTAGCCACTTTTAGAGATGGTAGAAGTAAACCTGTGCTTTGTCAGGGGTTGAAGAGAGATTACCTCATCCCTGAAGGTGGCATGCTGTACACACAATCCTGAGAAATGGCCCAGGTGGTGAGTGGTAAGGGCCTTGTTACTGAATAAGAATGTGAAGGGACAGTCAGGACCCATGGTGGATTGCCTTACCCAATATTCATGTATTTATGAATTTACAATCATGGATTTCTATTTTATTCAATGGGGTATAATCCATTAAAATAATTTATTTGACCACARGATACTTTTGAGATGGTTCCTCCCCATCCTTTTGATCAATGTTGACATTCTTGGAGCATTTTCTTGCTTTCTGACTCAAAATGTGCCAGGCTGTATTAGTTTCCTGCCACAACTGTAACAAAGTACCACAAACTCACAACAGAAATATATTCTCTCACAGATCTGGAAGTCAGAAGTCTAATGGAAGGTATTAGCAGAGCTGTGCTTCCTCTGAAGGTTATAAAGAATGCTTCCTTGCCTCTTCCAGCTTCTGGYGACCCTACATTCCTTGGCTTGTGGTTTAGCTCCAGTCTCTGCCTCTGTCTTCAAATGGTTTTCTTCCCCATGTCTGTGTCCAAATCTCCCTCTCCTTTCTTTTGTAAAGATACCAGTCACTGGATTTGGTACCCTCCCTAATGAAGTATGACCACATTCTACATCTATTTATATATGTTTCATTATCAGGTTAAAGACTATGCAAGCATTATTCTTTGTACTCAGGAAAGTTACAGAACTGGAAACATCTATGCAGCTTTTCCACAGTTACAGTGTACAATGTCAGGAGCTTTGTGTATCGCTCAACGAGGCCCACTGTTTAAAGTTACTGTTAAACAGGCAGGCTCAGGAGTAGCACAGTTGGTGAAATATTGAGGTTATCTAGCATGAGAATCCCTCTATCCCTGGAAGCTATGTGCCTGAGATCAAGGTGAGAGCTGATAAGGCCTTTGCACAGAGCCTCCTCGGGCAGGACATCACCATAGCAGCTAGGCATCCTGTGCCCTTGCACAAACATTCCCAGGCTGCAGGTGTGCCACAGCCATGAAGTCATCAGAGATCCCCAATTTCAGTCACTGCTCTCCCATTCAATGTCACCACTCTCCTAGATAAGCATCCTAGATAACTGTCTTCTAGATAATTCCTAGATAAGCATCCATTGTATTTTATCTGAGTATTGTTCAGGAAAATAAATAGCATGTACAGACACAT